TTTTTTTATTTTTAAGGGGAAAAAAATTGTTAACCCCCAATCTTTTAAAACATTAAAAAAAAGCCTTTTTTTTTTTTTTTTTTTTTTTTTTTTTCATTTTTTTGGGAGCTAATTTATAAAAAATGAAGTACTTCAAAGCGTTTCTTCAGTGTTGTTGCATCTTTTGCCTTCAAGGGAATTCTGTTAGTTTGTTTCATTCTCTTTGCCTGCATGTGTCTGTGTGCTTGTTTTCCTGTGTGTTGGCAGAGAGGGAGCTGCCAGTAGGACTAGACCAGAGGCTCATAACATGGGAGACGGTGCAGAAAGAGAATTACCTGGCAAAAGTGGAGCGCCAGCAATGGGAGAGCAGTGAGGAGAAACTCAAGACTACCTCCTCGAAGTAATTATTTTTCAGTTTTAAGGAGCATAAATCTGTGAACTCCCAATCTGTTAGATCATTAAAAGATAGCCTGTTTTTTTTTTTTTTTTTTTTTTTTTTTTTTCCAAGCTCCATGTAGACTATGTCCAAAGCCAAATTATTTTAAGCTTTAATTTAATTCACCAAGTGATATTATTACAACTAATTTAAGCTTTATGTTTTTATTCAGGGTTCAGAGTTTGCTAAAGATCGTTGGTGGTTTCAAGGACCAAGAGAGGCGACTGGTATCAGTGGAAGCTCAGGTAGACCGGCAGCATCACCTTGATGCATTGCATGGCTGCTTCTGCTGCAACTGTTTTTTAACTTATGGAAGTGCAGAGACTGGTTAATCCTCAGCTATTTCTCCATCTCTGTGTAGGTTCGATATTGTGGAGAAGTGCTGTCCTGGATGGCGGAGTGCTTTGCGCAGAGCACGCTCAAATGTGAAAAAGATGCTCCAAAAGCTCCAAGTGAGTCAAAAATCAGAGACCTGTGATGGCTAACAAAAACGACGCAGGACAATGGTGAGCGTTTATCTCCGGTTTTGTACTAATACGACACGCCATGTCAGCATCTCTAACAGGCAGCAAGGCAGACCATACTGCGGACACACCTCAAAGTCACTCTGAGCAAGAAGCCAGACAAGAAGAGGAAGAACCCAAACCTGGTCACCCAGGATATGGAGCCAACAAGAAATTTCCATACATTGATGAATAATAATAGTCACAGCATTAACTTGTAAAAGATGCCAAGTCCAACCCTTCTTCTTATCCTCCTGGCATTTCTGTTTTTTGTTGTTTTTTTTATCTTGACGTTACAGTAGTTCATAGTGCATCTTTCTTTTAGTAAGAATTGTAAGTTCAGGTTATTTGGTTTATCCTTAGTTTTGGAGCTGCATGACAAATGAAGGGAATGAGTACATTACAAAGTCCAAATTATTGAAATGGAATAACAGTTTTATTTCAGCAGGTTGCTAAAATGCAGGAAATGGCATTTTCAAAGGTGCTGTTTGTGCGTCCGAAAATGTGGGTTCCTAATGATTACAGAGAGCATCATTTTAACAAGCAACAAATGACAATTTTAAGAAGCCATCCCATAATATTATAAAACTTTAAGACAGTAGCATTGTTTACATCGTCAAATCAAATGACATAGTTTGCAAAGAAGAAAACAAAAAGTAAAGTAAGCATTTTGCTGCTCGACAAGCAGCAAAAACTTATGTTAAATTTATATTTACTAATCACATTACCCAGGAATAGGTAAGAAACATCAAATATTATTTCAAAATTACATTTCTGCAGCTAAAACAGCAGAACAAAACAACAAAAAGCAATGGAACCCATGGAATATCTTCTACGATGTTCCATGATTGTAAATCTTTTTTTTTTTTCATTTCTGCTTATGATTGGAAATTTTAAAGAGCACACCAGGTTTAATTACTTTTTGCAGTGATTTTTGCAGAAATATGTGATGTGAAGTTTTTATTAAAGCGCAGCTTAGAGTTATAATCACTTTGTTCTTCTGAGAACTGCTGAAACATCATCACACATGCCCTGATTTAAGAACTTTTCACTAAACATCCAGTGAACTGTAAACCAGGGGATGTCAGTCTCCCCATCCGGCTTCCCAAAGCACTTAATTTTATGTTTTTGTGGTAGAATCTTTTATATTTTATATGTTATACAGGAGCACCTTATTTCCTTCACTTTCTCCCATTTCTTCACGCCTTTTTTATTTTTAAAGTGTCAATTTAGACTATACAACTGTTTTTTCCTGATGTTCTGCAGCATTTATTGTCGATAATTTCATATCAAACGTTGGAATACAAAATGTGGATTCAATAAAATAATTTTCACATAGCTCAGTGCCATTTCTACAGACTCACTGTTTTGTTTTTCTTTGAATTCTTTTGTAGTCTTTCATTTTTCCTGCATTCTGCACTTATATCTTCATTCAGTATGGACCAATAGATGACTTCATAAGGAAATATGAAGAGGCTTGTATTTTGAGACCTACACACTTACTCAGATGACAACTAATTATTGATCCAACTAATTTCTTTAATTCAGTTATTTTCCTAAGAAAGAAAAACATGTACATTTTAAAATTACGGACTAAGATGCACTTTATACAGGCACATAATATTAAGATTTATCAAGTCCACATCATAACTATGACTAGACTGAATTTTAAGACTCCTTATTTTGAGTAAAAGTCAATTATGCTCAGATTTAGAGCTGAAAGCAGTTTTTATGTGTTTGGTTGTAACTTGTGAAAAACAAAAAGCTCGTTTCTAACATGCCATATCATTTCTAAAGAAATCTATTAGAGATAACCGGAGAAATAACGTTAGGTCTTGAAAAGTATTGATTAGAATCAAAGGTTAATACATATTGAGAGTAATAGTAGTTGAAATGTAAATTAAATATTAAAGCTGTGATACACAAAGTTAAAATCTGCATCAAAGCGATAATCCACTAATTTTATGCTGTTACTTAGAAGCACATCGCTTCAAATCGTACCAAACCCACTCCCATGCCTCTAACAAGCCACAAGATTAAATCAGATCAAGTTTTCAGAGGAAGACATAGACGTCTTTAAAAGACATTCATGAAAACAAACATTCAGACATTGGAGAACAAATAAATACCGGAAAATTCACTTTGATGAATGAAAGCGAGGTTAATCTTTTCTGCTGTGTATGTTTTATGATAAACAGGCAATACTGAAACACTGGTACTTGTGCTCTATACAACCAAAATGACACCAATCCCAAATAAAGAAGCTTGACCTTATTCTTTTGAAATCGATGCTTCAGGTCCTCTTGGCTGCACGGCCGGTCCCTCCCGATGAAACATGCTATCAAAGCGTGGCGTCACCTCGCAGCGGATCAGCAGAGTGTCATCTTTCAAAAAAGCTTTCTGACTCAGCTGTTGCAGATGCAAAAAAGTGACGTAGCCAAATCCTTTGGGATTGCGTGCAATCACAGGTTTCTGGAAGGCTTGCAGGTCTGGCTTTGTCTCCATGACCTCCATGTGATGCTGACACTCGGGTCCCTGGTCTAAGATGGCAAGCCGGATCGTTCCTTGAAAAGGCCATGTCAGCTGCCCGTCAAAAACTCCTTGCATAGTGTGGACGAAAAGGGAGATGAAGTTGGAGCAGCGTGGGGCGTTGGGCGTCTGCAGGTGTAAGCGCAGACACAGCCTGTAGCCTGGACGGCCTGTGTAGAAGCCAGGGCTGTGCTCCACCACTGTCTGGCCTGCTTCTTGGTTGCGCAAGAGGTGAGAGAAACCTCTGAGGCGCCAGATGAAAATGCCGTGGCAATGCTGGGCCTCCAGCTCCTTCACAGTTTCCTCCAGCATTGAGACCTTACGCCGCAGATCCATAAGATGCTCTGCCTGCCAATGACATGGAGCATAAGGTTAGCTACAACATAATAAGTAAATTAAGCAGAGTAACATAATCCATCAGTCTTAACTTTAAGAAGTTATAAAGTAATCTCTTCTTTTTTAAAAACTGAAAAAACTTAGTTAAAAAGAGATGAAAGTCTTTATGTGAATGGAGATAGCAACAGGTGACACAACTCTGTCTTGAGCATTTATTAGTAAAAATGTTGCCTTTCATTTAAAACACTGACCAATCCTTGTCTAAATCCTAATTTTTCACACATGAAATCTAAGGCCCCGCCCGCACAAAGAGTTGCACTTGAGTTCCAGGCTGAGTCCACATGGATTCGGACTCTTGAGAGACCAGAAACAATAATTTTTGAAACCAGGTTTCAGGGTGGATAAATTTCAAAACCCCACTTTCATGTTTTAAGTTTTTATATAACTGAACCTTAAAAATCCCTCACATTTATTGAATATATAAATAATATACCTAGAATTGGAAAAGCAAAAAAAAACAAACAGAAAGAAAAATGTAGCTCCATTTCTCTCTCTCTCTCTCTCTTGCATGCAGTGTTCTCTCATAAATAAATGTGGTGACGGTCTATGTTTTTGTTCTCTGTCACTATTACAGCCCCGCGTATTGTCCCAGCATACCTACTACATCATTGTCTGTGGCGTCATGCCGTGCTTATATCTGTCCATTCAGGGCCTAAGATTTGGCACAAATATTTTGTTTATTACAAAAATATAACTCAACACTACAAAATGAGTGAGCGGTGAGATAAAATGAATATATTGCGAGTGAACTCATGTAAAGCCATATTAGCAGAGATCTAATATGATCTCTGTTAAAGTGATATAATTAATATATTTTTGACTCCCAGAAGGAACCAACAATGTTCCGCTGACCCACATGCAAAATTTACGAAGTAAAGTCAAACGTAAGCCTGCATAACATGCAGGCAGAAGTAATGCGAGGGCTAGACATAGAGAAATATACCAGCATTTCTACAATAAGAGACTGAAATTACCATGCCATTAGGTGTAGCAAATATGACTGAAAAGACACATTCACATTTATTCAGAATTATTGATATGAAGTTCATCTAACTCATAAAAAAAAAAAAAAAAAAAAAAAAAAAATTTCGGGGGTTTGTTTTTGGGACTGATATTGGGTTTTTAACCGGGGGAGAT